TAATAATTATTAAAATTCGTCATGGACCAAAAAGTGATAAAATGAATAAAAATGAATAAAATGAGTAAAAATCGATAAAAATCAAAAATGAAAAGTTTGAAAGAGAGAAAGAAGGTGGTCTCAGATCCAACGTTATTTATCAATAGTTTGACCAATAACGGTTTACGGAGGTCTCGTCATCGACCCTAATAAAAAAAGTGAAATTAGAATGAATATAATACTAAAAAAAGGTGAGAAATTCACACAAATTCTAAAATAAAAATCACATAAAATAAAAAGAAGGTGCAAGGATTTAAATGCAATGGTAGAATCATATGGACTTCAAAAAGTAAGCTCATCCTACTTATTCATGCTGCAACACAAAACAAATGGGAGGAAAATAAATGACACGGGCTTCAAAGCCCAGTTCATCACACAGATCTACAAGTCCAACCACAAGAGTCTCCCTCACAACAAGCATGTTTTTTTGAAAATAAAATAAAAGGAATTGAAGCCAAAATTCGGAAGAAAAGAAATCCACATCATTAAAAGGAAAATGAACAAATCTGAAAAGAGGAAATCGCTTCATTCCCACCTTCCTAGTCTTCATCCCTTTTCTCCCTTTGCTTAAAGTGTCAGTTTTTCGAATCCCACCTCCTCTTTCAAGTCAAAACGGAACGCAACCTTCTGTATGTTTCCATTTCTCTCGTTTTGGATTTGAACTCGTTCACTGGGCTTTGATTTAGGGGTTTGAGACTTGTTATTCCTTCTTCCTCACCTCATTTGGGTTTCAATCCGTTTTGATTTCTAGATCTGTGGGTTTATGGGTTTCGTGAAGTTGAAGAAAGAAGAACGAGTTTCAGTTGGAAATGGGTTTGGTGTTTATGTTGTGGTTGGTGAAGAAGAAGATTGGAAGGGATTTTGGTTGAATAGGTTTTGTGGGTTTGATGAAGATTGAAGAGGAGTCATTTAACATGTTTATGGTTGCTCAGGTTTGAGAAAATGGTATCAATATCTGGTTTTCGGATTTGAAAGCTTGTTGATATTATAAAAATGGTATTAGATTGTTTATGTCAAGAAATGGAGGAAGAATGAAGTGAGATTGAAGTTCTGAGATGAAGGTGTTTTGAGTTTTGTTGGAGCTTTTGGTTTTTGTGAAGAAATTTCGAAGGTTAGGTTGCTGTTAATGAAATTGAAGAGTGGGTTTTAAGAAGAAGACATTTGGAGGTTTTGAGGGAGAGACCCTTTGAAGGAATCCGAGAAAAATGGCTCCTTTAGATGTGGCTGGAATTTTCGGTTTTATGGTTTTGGCTCCAGAAGAGGAGATTCGAATGGTTTAGATTGGGCATTTATGAAAGAGTCCCCTCTCCCATTTTTAGGTTTGTCTTTGTTTTTCGTCATGTATATTGGCTGGTTGTAAGCTCTTTATCGTATAATTTTTTTGCATTTTTGTGGTGCTGGTTGTGTATGTCGTCCTTTCGTTCGTACAGCTAGTGGGGAGGGAAAAAGTTGCAGATTTATGTCCTTGTTTTAGCACAGGTTGATGGTGCGGTTTATGCTCACTTGGTGATGCGCAGAAAGAGGCTTTGTGGAGTGCCCTTGTTTGCTCCTTGGCTGCCGTTTTTCTATGCGTACATATTGCCTATTGTGCAGCGGTTGTGGAGTTTGTTTTTTTGTGAGCTGTGGTTTCTACGAGCTTCTTTCTTCTTTGGAATTCAACACGTACAGGTTTAATGAGTGTTGGATGAAATTTTCTTATTTTTATTTAATTCTCAAATTTCATCACTCCTGTGGGTCCCTGTTAGTAATCCAGCTACTACAAATCATAAGTGAAACAATGGATGGAGCCAAGACGTGAAGTTGACGGCGCGTTAATTCACGTAACAGGTTGTTAGCCTACACATGGGAACCGTGTTGAACTTTTCTGTTGTAATTCGTAGGAGACGCTCTTTCGCAGCCGGTTACGGACGAAGGCTTAGTGAATTTTAATTCAAATTGCCTTGTAAACAAGCTTTGATATCATGGGTCTATGAACCTTTGTATGATTTGGCTTTTGAAAGAACAATAAAAAAAATGGGCTTTCATATATTTGTATACTTGTGATGGATTTCATGATGTAGCTATCTTGCTGAGTTTTGGATATGTGCTAAAGGATATTATATCATAGCCCCTTTTTTACAAAATGTTGCATGAAATGGTGTTTCCAATTTATACATGTCTTGACAAATAAATTGGACTTTGAGAATCCTTTTGAATTAATCTCATGCGAATTTAAAATCCAGCTTTCATATTAATCCCAAATTTGATATTCAAAGCTACCTATTTGCTTTTCCTTGTGAAACGATTAGTGCCTTAAATCAGTCCCTCGAGAAATAACCATAAATCAATTTTGAACTTCTAATCTAAAACTTTGATCCAATTCGTGAATTATAACTCAAACTCTCGCCTCTTATACCAAGTCAAACCAAAACTTTCACCATAACCTTCCTGATCAAGAATCACGTCGTAAGATTGGAGATTTTATGAATTAAAATATGGACTCCAAAGCATTACATAACACCCCGATTAAAGAATGGTCAAGATCTGAATTACTATCAACTATGAAGTATTAATAACTCAACCATTGTCTGATGACTTAATCCATACTCCAACTGAATTAATGCTCTTGGCCTTAACTACACATGACCAGTTTGACCAACATTAGATCGAACCTGACTATCCTTCAATCAAAACTGCACTCATCCTTGGCTTGATGAACCACACTTGAAAATAATGACATTTTTTTGGGATTTTCTGAGTATAGTTAGTGGGTAAATATACGGAACGGAGGCTGTACAAAGGTAGGAGAAATTTGGGGTATGACACAACTCGCTTGTTATGTGATTAGAACCTAAAATGTACAATTAGGGGAACTATGTACTTGTGTAATGACTAAATGTACTCACTTAGTGAAAAGCCTCATAATGTAATTGGTATAATTTGCTTCTATTGCTTGCCAATGCATCTCATAATGGTATGTGATTAGCAATATGACCAATAGTGGATTAATATGGCCTATACGCTAAACTCAGACACGCAAGAATTAGCGTGTTGACTTTGGTCAGCTGGTTGACCAAAAAGTCAACAGTTGACCTAGAGTCTAAGTTAGGCAAAATGTAATGCAATTTGAACATGACCTAGACCAAAAGCAAGAAATATGACCTCAATTACACCACGAACCTATATGAATCCAAGTCAAATGCAGGGTTTCACACCAAAAGCCAAGTCAAATGCACAAGGAGAGATTAGTCAAGAATTAGGGTTTCATGGCCTTTGAATCCATGATGCTTACCCTTTTCTCTGAAGATGCCTAATGCAGATGAATAATATGACCTAACTAGTTTTGAATGTATGCACATGAATTAAAGTCATGAACTAGAGGAAAATTGCAAAAAAGGTAGGGTAAATTTTCAGGATATGACAACCGTTAGTTAATTTGGATGACTGACAACACATTATGGAGATTGATTGCTCGTTCGATAGAAAAAACTACCTATCTAATCTATGCCAAATGTTTAATTGCATCGTTATCAGACCTTCGTCTCTTTAAACCTTTGTGGTGGTTCAAAACATTTAAAAACTTAAAAATAATAACTCGATTGTATTACAAAGGCAACTTTTTCTTTTAAAGAAACCACACACATTTTAATCGGTTTGTTATAAATTATAAAAACAATAATTATAATTTTATTCTTTAATTTTTTTTGTTTATAAATGTTAAATCTATTCATAACCTTATTAGTTCTATCGATATAAAAATCAATAACAAAACTCTAAAATAATTCTATGAGTCCATATACCATCAACTTGTATCCCTTAAACCCATATCAAAATTCAATTAGAAAAATAAGCAGGTACTTGAATTTGTCATTAAAATTGTTGAAGGTTGCGAGTATGAGATCTTCCGATTTGTAGAGTTTTCTTATGGCTCATTGAATCTCATCTAATGGGGACGAAGAAAGATTTTTCTCTAATGACCCGTATTTTTTTAATCTTTCTACAAATGGGGACCATAACCCCTATAAATAATCATAGAGTTATTTGTTAGTGTTAAATATTCTAATTTGACCCCTTCATCAAATTAGATATTGACATGTGGTATTTACACATTCATATTATCTTTCATGAAATTTATATTTTTAGTCACAAATTTATTATTAATTTGACTAATTACATAATGACCCTAACACATGTAATATTACAATTGCGACCCAAAAATTATAAATAAAAAATTAATCAAAATCATATATTGTTTCAAATTGATTTATTATAAATAAATTAAAAAAATAATATTGACATTTAGCAATTCGGATATTCATTATTAAAGTATTTACTTTAATGATAATAAAAAAAAAAATATTTTATGAAAAAAATTTAAATAATTTGTTACGAGAATTTGAATAAAATAATTTTAATTCTAAATATTCTTTTTGAAAATTTATCCTTAAAAGTATTATAGAAAAAATAAATATTTAAATTAATTTTTTTAGAAACTTATATATATATATATATATATATATATATATATATATATATATATATATATATATATATATATATATATATTCATTTAACATACTATATTATAAAATTCATTTTAAAAAACAATAAAACCATGTAACTACAAGAAACACTAACAAAAAAACTAAAAGTAAAGTTTTTAGTTAAAAATTCCACGGTTTGCAGAAAATATCTCCCTTTTCCGAGGAGACAAATAAGTAAAATAGCCAGAGTAACGAAAGTGCAAGAGTACTGCCACGTCACCTCCTTGAACCCAAAACTCTGTCAAAGTCAATATCTTCAAAACGCCAATTTCGCGCGCAGAAAACAAATTACACCCAGAAAACTCTAACTTCACAATCCACGTGTCTCACTTCAAAACCGTTCAACGAAAAAAAGGTTCGTTTTTGAGCAACGTAGCTTCTCATTATACATATAGCAACTAAGTTTCACTTCTTCACTCCACAAACCTCTCTCTAACGATGGCTTCACGGAGAATCGTTTCGTCTTTGGTACGATCTTCCCTCCGTCCATCTCCATCCAAATCCTCCATCACCGCCTCAACATCGAGACTCTCTTCTCAATCACGTCCTTCTCCGTCCCCTTCCGCTTACTTTCTCAGCCGTGTAACGGAATACGCCACCGCGGCTGCCGCTGCAGCTCCCGCTCCTCCTCCGGTTAGGAAAGTTAGCGGCGGTGATGGAAAGATTACTGATGAACGTACAGGAAAAGGTGCCATTGGACATATTTGTGCAATCATTGGTGCTGTAGTGGATGTGAGATTCGAAGATGGAGTGCCTCCGATCCTTACCGCGCTTGAGGTTCTTGAAGGCTCGCAACGGATTGTGTTGGAGGTTGCTCAACATTTAGGTCAGGGTGTTGTTAGAACTATTGCTATGGAGGCTACTGAAGGTGTTGTTAGAGGATGGCGTGTGCTCAATACCGGCTCTCCCATTAGTGTAAATTCCCAATCACTTGCTTCCATTTATTGCTATTTCAGAGATTTCAGAGATTGAAGAAGTGTATTATTTGTCACTAACATTTACTTTATTCTTGTTTTCTGTTTAGATTCCGGTTGGCAGGGCCACCCTTGGACGCATCATGAATGTTATTGGAGAACCTATCGACCACAAAGGCGAATTCAGTAAGCAACCTCTAAATCTTTCATAAGTCCGAAGTTTTCTATGTCGTAGTTTCTTTGGAAAATTTTCAACTGATGATAACTTTTGTGAATTATATTAGAAACCGAGCATTATTTGCCCATTCATAGAGAGGCTCCTGCTTTTGTTGAGCAAGCAACTGAACAGCAGATCCTTGTTACTGGTATCAAGGTATTTTTCGGTTGCTTGTGACTTCCTTTTTCTTTTCATTTTTTTAATTTGTGGTGAATGCATCAACCTCATATCCTTAAATGTTCAATTACACAAATTTGCATAAATTTCTTTATATAGGTTGTTGATCTGCTTGCACCATACCAAAGAGGAGGAAAGATCGGGTTGTTTGGTGGTGCCGGTGTAGGAAAAACTGTGCTTATTATGGAACTTATCAACAATGTTGCCAAGGCTCATGGTATATAGCTTAATGTTTCTGCACTTAATTTATTCTTATTGAGAGGCTATTTTTCTGTAATGTATGCTTACTATTTCCATTTGTTAGGTGGTTTCTCTGTTTTTGCGGGTGTTGGAGAAAGAACACGAGAGGGGAATGATTTGTACAAAGAAATGATTGAGAGTGGTGTCATTAAGTTGGATGATAAGCAGGTTAATACAATGTTGTTCATCATACACAACAAACAATATTCCTAATATTTTCCTTTTGCAAAATTGTCAACTATGGTTTGTTTCATGAAATTCAGAGTGAAAGCAAATGTGCTCTTGTGTATGGTCAAATGAATGAGCCACCTGGTTCTCGTGCTCGTGTTGGACTTACTGGACTCACTGTCGCTGAACACTTCCGTGATGCTGAAGGACAAGATGTGCTTCTTTTCATTGACAACATTTTCCGCTTTACTCAAGTATGGACAAGTTATCTAGTCTAAGATATCTTCTATATCTCAATTGATATTCATAACATGACATATAATGCATGATGCATTTGCAGGCAAACTCAGAGGTGTCTGCTTTGCTTGGTCGTATCCCATCCGCGGTTGGTTACCAACCAACATTGTCTACTGATCTTGGAGATCTTCAAGAGCGTATTACAACCACCAAAAAGGGTTCAATTACCTCTGTCCAAGCTATCTATGTGCCTGCTGATGATTTGACAGATCCTGCTCCTGCTACCACCTTTGCTCATTTGGATGCTACAACAGTGTTATCAAGACAGGTTTGGTTATTAACTAAACCGGCAATTTTAGTAATATCTTTTGGTTGTTACCACTATCTAAATAATGTGATTTGGATATGACTATTGAATATAGATCTCTGAGCTTGGTATCTATCCTGCTGTCGACCCATTGGATTCCACATCTCGTATGCTTTCCCCACTTATTTTGGGCGAGGCACACTATGAAACCGCCCGTGGTGTACAGAAAGTACTTCAAAACTACAAGAATCTCCAAGATATCATTGCAATTTTGGGAATGGATGAGCTCAGTGAAGACGATAAAATGACTGTTGCCCGTGCCCGTAAAATTCAGCGATTCTTGAGCCAGCCTTTCCATGTGGCTGAAGTTTTCACTGGTGCCCCTGGCAAATATGTTGACTTGAAGGAGAACATTGCTAGTTTTCAGGTATTTATTTTTCTCATTTAGTCTAATTCTACCCAACCAAGTTGACAAAACAAAGCTTTGATTGTTAATCTCCTTGTTATTGTACACAACTTACAGGGTGTGTTGGATGGAAAATACGACTCCCTTTCAGAGCAGGCATTTTACATGGTTGGTGGTATTGAAGAGGTCATTGCAAAGGGAGAGAAGATTGCTAAAGAAAATGCTGCATCTTAATCACACAATTCACACACAATTTTGTTTCAATTATTTATAAATGCCAAGTTTAATAATTTAGGATCTCTTATTTTTTTTATAAATTTTGTTAGGTAAGTTCTTTCATTTTAATCTTGTTTCGGACTGTAACATGAATTATGACCTATTACCCTTTTTTTACTGTTTGTTATTTAATAAAGGGGATAGATGCATCACTATCACAAAACCCACCATAAGAATAGGTCGGTGTGATGTGTACCATAATTTTGGAGAGTGAAATACATGGAAATAAATGATTTAGTTTTTTTATTCTGATAATTTGATATAATTGTTACATAAGTCAAAATATGCTATTTTTTTTAATTATATACTCTATTCAGATTTTATTCATAATTAATTATTAATCATGATTTAATTTAATTGTCTAATGAAAAATAAAATAACTAGTGGTCAAAATTGAAAAATAGAAAAAGAATCGAGGCGAAAATGTAAGAATGTAATTTTTGGTTTTGTAAGTGCTATATAGTGTGTCACTGCTTCACACCACAAACCCTAGACATCTTCATTCTCTCTCTCCTTTCTCTCTCCGAAGATGGCTTCACGCAGACTCGTATCGTCTCTGATTCGATCTTCTCTTCGTCGATCCTCATCGAAACCCTCAATTTCCGCCTCAACTTCGAGGCTCACTTCTCAATCCCGTGGTTCACCTTGCGGCTACCTTCTTAACCGCGTAGCCGATTACGCTACTTCGGCCGCAGCCGCTGCTGCTCCTCCACCCCCGCCTCCAGCGAAAAAGGAGGTTCCCGGAGGCGGTAAAATCACCGATGAGTTCACTGGTAAGGGTGCGATCGGGCATGTTTGTCAGGTTATTGGTGCCGTCGTCGATGTCAGATTCGAAGAGGGTTTGCCTCCGATCTTGACTGCTCTTGAGCTTTTGGATCATGAAACACGTTTAGTGTTGGAAGTTGCTCAGCATTTGGGTGAGGGAGTTGTCAGAACTATTGCTATGGATGCTACTGAAGGTGTCGTTAGAGGGTGGCGTGTGCTCAACACTGGATCCCCTATCAGTGTAAATATTCAATCGCATACCTTTTAATTGATTCGATTTTCATTTATTCGCTGAAGTTTCTGATTTTTGTTGACTTTGTCTGGACTTTACTGATTGTTAGATCTGATTTTTGAATCAAATATATCTCACTCTATATGATGCATTTTGTGGATCCAGATGTGTTTTTTTTTGCCTCAATGAAATTGATATAGTTTTATTGTTTTTTTAAGTAATTGACTTTGTTTTTCTTCTGTCGGAGTTTGCTTCTTTTTAATTGTTGGATGAAATGGATTTAGTGTTCTCAATCGTTGGCTGTCTGCATCATGCTATTAATTTGACAGTGCTGATATTGGTTTCCTGAAATTGTGGTCTTTGTTACCCATTTTTGCTGTCAAATTGTTGTATTCATTGAAAGCAACATTCAGGCCTGTTTGGTTTGAGTAATAATGCTCTGTTTACATTTTGCAAACAAATCTTGTGTACATACCTATGAAAACATAGTACACACGTTAGATGCCTTTTGGTCCTATTGCTCCATTACTCTATTTAGACTTTATTTTTTGCATCATGGATTTACCTATCATGGTTTTATTGTGTTTTAGTGTCTTGGTCTGTTTGTCACTAGCGATTAACTACTTTAATATTTCACAATTAACTTGTGTCTTCCATTTAGGTTCCTGTCGGTAGGGCAACCCTTGGCCGTATCATGAATGTTATTGGAGAGCCTATTGATGAGAAGGGTGAATTGAGTAAGTAATCTATGTCTGTTTTATTGCTATGAGTTGATTAATGTTATTTTTGTATCAATTCCTCTGAGTTCTATTAAGTGATGGTATTTATTGTCAATTGCTTTAGAAACCGAGCATTTTTTGCCCATCCATAGAGAAGCCCCTGCTTTTGTAGAGCAAGCAACTGAACAGGAGATTCTTGTTACTGGTATCAAGGTATTGCTATTTATTGTTTCTTACTGCCTATTGTTTATTTATGAATGCATTCTTTCTCAGTTCCATCAGTATTTACGGGCTTGGATATCTAATGGCTTGTTGTCTACATTTGGTTAATATTTTCCTTGTAGGTTGTTGACCTGCTTGCACCATACCAAAGAGGAGGAAAGATTGGGTTGTTTGGTGGTGCTGGTGTTGGAAAGACTGTGCTTATTATGGAACTTATCAACAATGTTGCTAAGGCTCATGGTATATGCTTGCTTAATAAACTCAATTTATTTTTGTTAAGATGCCATTCTTCTTAGATGTATGCTGACTCTTTTCATTTATTAGGTGGTTTCTCTGTGTTTGCTGGTGTTGGAGAACGAACTCGAGAGGGTAATGACCTGTACAGAGAAATGATTGAGAGTGGTGTCATTAAGCTGGGTGACAAGCAGGTGAACACAATGCTGTTCATGATGCATGTTCAATATTATTCATATAGTAGTTAATTTTTCTAAGTTGTTAACTATGGTTGTTTCATGAATTCAGAGTGAAAGCAAATGTGCTCTTGTGTATGGTCAAATGAACGAACCCCCTGGTGCCCGTGCCCGTGTTGGTCTTACTGGACTTACTGTTGCTGAGCACTTCCGTGACGCCGAAGGGCAAGATGTGCTTCTTTTCATTGACAACATTTTCCGTTTTACTCAAGTATGGACATCTTATCCGGATAGGTCATATTGTTTTATATCAATTGATATTGTACTTGTAGTTTTTCATATTTTAATAATTAATGCTATATCATGATGCAATTGCAGGCTAACTCGGAGGTGTCTGCTTTACTTGGTCGTATCCCATCTGCTGTTGGTTACCAACCAACATTGTCCACTGATCTTGGAGGTCTTCAAGAGCGTATTACAACCACCAAAAAGGGTTCAATTACCTCTGTCCAAGCTATCTACGTGCCTGCTGACGATTTGACAGATCCTGCTCCTGCCACTACCTTTGCTCACTTGGATGCCACAACAGTGCTGTCACGACAGGTTTGATTATGTTGTCTTTTAAATTTTTATATTGCTTTGATATTTTTGTTTATCGCCAGCTAAATTTGATTTTTGATAATTATCGAATAGATCTCTGAGCTTGGTATCTATCCCGCCGTCGACCCTTTGGATTCTACATCTCGTATGCTTTCCCCACTTATTTTGGGTGAAGCCCACTATGAAACCGCTCGTGGTGTACAGAAAGTACTACAAAACTACAAGAATCTTCAAGATATCATTGCAATTTTGGGAATGGATGAGCTCAGTGAAAACGATAAAATGACCGTTGCCCGTGCCCGTAAAATTCAGCGATTCTTGAGCCAGCCTTTCCATGTCGCAGAAGTCTTCACTGGTGCCCCCGGCAAATATGTTGACTTGAAGGAGAACATTGCTAGTTTCCAGGTATTTATTTTTTTGTTGTAGTCTAATGTTACCCAGCCAAGTGGAACCAAGATTTGATTGTTGGTTGTTGTAACTGTAATGTTGCCATCTTGTTGCTGCTTGTGTTATTTTCATTACACGAGCTATGTGTTTTTTTTTGTATTTGTTGTTTGTTGTTGCCCATATTTAGATTTAGTTTAAATTGCCAATAAGCTGCATCAAATTATTTTTCATCTCTATCTTATTATGACTTTTATAAACTTAAATTTTTAATTTTTTGAAAAATTTATTTGATGATGCTTGTACATTATCCAAGCGCAATCCTATCTGCAATTCTTGTTTTCCTTGATGCATCCCAACTTTTTTCATATTTTATCCTTTAAATCTTCATGATTGTTGTCTTATTTTAAATGTTTCTTTTGACTATTTTTGAACAACCATATGCGATCTTGAAATTAAAAGACTGATATTATAAAATTGTTTAGTGATTATGATTCATATTGCTTCCGGAACTTGTTTCTATTATTCACAAGGATGGTTGCAAACCATAACTTGTTATTGTTTTTCTGTGTGGATTAATGCATGGTTGTTGTGTGTAACTTGCAGGGTGTGTTGGATGGCAAGTACGATGACCTTTCAGAGCAGTCTTTTTACATGGTTGGTGGTATTGAAGAGGTCATTGCAAAGGCAGAGAAGATTGCCAAGGAATCAGCAGCATCTTCATCTTAATCTCACAAATCCTCCCATCATTTTGTCATTTCTTTATAATTGCGAAAATTTAATAATTTAGGAACTCTTTCTTGGCAATGCCAAACAACAAAATTTTCCATTTTATAAATTTTATAATTTGAATGGTCATTCCTTTCATTTTGAGAGTGTTGTTGCTGACGGTGAGATCAACCAAATTCTGTCGCCCCTATTTCTTTTTCCGTTGTGTTATTTAATAAGTGGATGATGCAACAGATTGTACATTTTTATTTGTTCAGAACTACTTGGATGCATCTATTGTTAAAGTTTAGAGCTGGTTCATGTGTTGTGAAGCATACTTTTATTTATACTATTGAATATGCTTTTACTGTGTAGATATAACTTATGCCCGGCCGGCGTGCAACTTTTGTAACATTACGGATTAAAGTAATATCAAACGGCGATTTTTTTATTCATCTATTAAAATAAGAGTTGTGTTTCATATTATCTACTACAAGTATAGTCAGGGAAATATGGGTTCGGCGAATGATGAGATAAAAGTGGTTTTTTCTAAATTCAACAAACTATTGATTGCCTTTGTTTATAAATTAACCCGTCCTTATGAAGTTCATTTCAGTTGTTGTCATATATATATATATATATATATGTGGCAAAAAGTTATAAATTGACCCCACGATGGATCATTATTAAGTACTAAAATGAATATGGTCACACAATTGCACACTAAAATTCAATGTATTTATATATTTTTATTTTTAGTACAATATATATGTATATATTTTTATTTTTATTATTATGGAAACATTTTTATTAAATATATCACTATTAAATTTTTAATAGTATTTTAATATAAATATTTGTCTTTAAACAATAACATCCTATTTTTTTTTTAAATGTTAAAAAATTAAAATGATATAATAAATTATAATTGATCAATCATTTTTTATTAGAGGTGCTCACATTCTACTGAAAAATTAATAATGCCAATTTAAAAAATGTATTTTCGAATGTATCATCGTGAACTTTACTTTCGTATGAGACAACAATATCTGTTTAAATTGTTACAAATTTTTACAAGTTTTTATGTATGAGTTGTCATAAAAAAATATTATTTGTAGTAATAAATTTCCCATGACAGTGACGTCACATCGTGGCTTTTTACTTAAATGAGACAATGACTAGAAAAAGAGGGAAAACACAATGCTTTTTACTTAAATGAGACAATGACTAGAAAAAGAGGGAAAACACAACAAAACCCTCACCCTTCAGAGCAGAGGCAAGGGCTTGGGACAACTGTTCGAGACTTCTTAGAGGGTCCAATGAGAACAATCCATAAGGAAAAATGATTCACCGAGTTAAACAAGAGACAAGTGCACTATTTAGGCAATGAAGCATATAATCTCAACCCAACTATCAATCAGATTCCCGCATCTCGCGCCGTTAGATTAACAAACCATTATACTTACTATATAAAAGGGGAATATGTTATTTCTCAAGTAATTCGAATTCAAATCTCATTCACTCCATCTTACTCTCATACTGACTTGAATATTAGAATATTAACTTTACAGGTCAACCCTTCTTCTACCGTATCAAAAGTTTAAGTTCACATTTGCAATCCACTTCTATGGTTCAGCAATCAATTCTAAATAATAAAAAACCTCACATTATTTTATGAGCTAAATTGTAATCTAAAAACTATACTTCATAGAGGTCGTGATTCTTTGATTGTAAAATACATGTAAAACACCAAAATTTATGGCACACTAGTGAATATTTTATATTATTTAGACCACCTTTAGTACATGTAGTACATGTATAATATTTTATATTATATAGAGTACTTAAAACATTATTGCTGTGCTTGTAAATTCTTTAAAGAGTTAAGACTATAATCTCACACTTAGTCAATATGAATAGATGAAATTTCAGAACATGAAAACTACAATAACTCATATAATACCTAGATGTGACACTCAATTTCATGTAAAAAATTTTTATAAAAAAAACTTCTTATTAATAAAAATATAAATAATGCTTTAAAATATCAGGATTCGTTGACACTAAATATAAGTCTAAAAAATTTACATTAAATCTCACCAAATCCCCCAAAGGATTTAAACAATCAATCCCATTGAAAATGTGGCAGAATCCAAAAAGTGTATTTTCCATACGGACCATGACATCTAGATTTCCCGTTCTTCATATTATAGATCTTCAAAAAATCAGCAAAATAAATTGAATCTCTTTGCAACGATTTTGAGAAATATGACGCTGAAACTGAAATCGAATCGCCTTGTCCTAAAAATAAAATATCATCTCCCAAACTCTTAAGTTTACACATTTCTTCAAGCTTTTCACCTTTTGCGTCTAATTTCAATTTGTATACATGATATACATTCCTACGCAAGGCACACCTTTTCACCATCCATAATTCTTCATTCAACGATTTCACAAGAAATTTATCTTGAAAAATACCTTCCTCAACCTTCTCTTCTAAAATAACATTTGGCAAAAGATTATTTGAACCACAAATATTAATCGATATAATTTTGCGGTGGATAGTTATAGCAAATAATAACCCTTTATAAAATATTACATCAATGAAAAAAGGTTCCAATATCTCCATATAAGTCCAATTTTTTTGACCACTTTTAATAAATGCAAGATCACAACTGTTGCCATGAATGGCTGCAACTACATAATCATTTGGATTTTTTATAGGATCTGCAGACAAAGTAACCTTATAAACCCTATTGAGTGGTGGGAGAGTAATGTAAGGTATATTTTGAAAAGGATTCATGAGTGTTATGATAGATCTAGAATCATCTACCAATGCAAGCCAACCATGGCTAGAACCACAAAGATGGAGATTAGGTTTAATTAGCCCTAATTGAAATTGAAAAGGATACAATCTTTTGTTTGGAATTCCAAACAACCCATTCTTGTTGGTAAGACTATCATTTGGGGGTACCATTACCATAGGTATTGTGTTCATCTTGAATTGATGATTTTGATGGTTGAGCTTTGCAATTAATTGCCAATTTTTGCAGACAACACTGAACCAAAGATGATCAATTTTTTCTTCTAAATTGTCAAGAATTAAACCAAGAGGAAGTGCTTCTAAATTTGCCCAATCTCGTTCCATTGCACTAAATGAATGAAGAAAATATGTAAACACAATTCATTAATATAGTTATAAAAGATTTAGATAATACTTATTCCTAAAGAAACTCATATTTGAAAACAAACTATGTTTAAATTCAAAGTAACAAATTTTATTAAATAATATATTATATTCATATATGACTTATTCAGATATTTATTAGATATATTTAATTTGGTTTTGTTAATATATTTTAGAGAAAAAATTTTTTACATCGTTAACAGAATAAAATATATTTTTATTTTTAAAATACTTATATTAGATACAATTATAAATATTTTGACAATTATAAAATATGTTTAATTTTTACCTTTAAACCCTTTATTTTAAATATTTTTATTTATTTATTTTTAAATTTATTTTATTAAAATACTGTGTCCACCAGTTGGTAATTTTCTGTTATTTTTTTAATTTAAATCAATTTTATGTTACTATTAATGAGAACAAACACTACCGATTTGTTGGCATTAAATTTGGAAAATATGTTTACAGAGATATTCAATTCAAACAAACTTTTTTATTTAATTTTCTTTTGCTGTATCTATTTTTTTTTAACTACATAAGCATCTAATCCAAGTTTAAAATTTGAGAACTTCTATGACATCGAATTTCATATATTCTTTTGATTTTATACATTAATTATTTTATTTTACTTATTAATTAATTTCTAATTATCTTTTGGTAGAATTAATTTATTGAATATAATATAAAAAAATAGAACAGTATTATTTGGCGATTTCTTCATATCATCTTTTAACGAAGAATGTAATATAAAACCTCACTTAAGATTTCCATATATGAAAATATAATTTTTGAACAAAGAATTCAATATAAAAGTTCACCTAAGATTTTCATGATTATAAATAAAAATAAATTATTATTATTATTATTATGAAGTAAATAACGAGTTGCTACAAGGAAAAATATCTACTTTGAGTTATAGACTCACTTAAGTAAATGACAAATACATTATATATTCACAAAAATCTTAAGATATTGGGTCTACTTGTTTTTAATGTGTCAAACCTTCACTTTCCCAAGCAAACTAGAAACTTACTCTTTCATCCATATATACTTGTATAGCTATTGACACTCTTACCACATCACATGAGTTTTAACATGACACATTGTTTGACCACCAACTTGTTAGAAAGACTTTCGATATATGATGTTGATCTTTTACTCAAACCATCAACTATAATACCACTGACAAATTATCATGAGAAGAAACATCCACATTGAGTCAAAGACTCACCCAAACAATCGAAAGACACATAACATATTTACACAAAATATTAATGCATCTAGTATTATCAATCATAAAATGCTTAACCTTCACTTTTTCAAACAATGTAGAACTTACACAATGCACACTTGTTTCTTAACATTAAATTCACTTGTTGCAACTCATGCGTGCATATACTTTATGGAAATTACTTCTCCCACTCTAAGTGGTAGAGAAGCACCCTAAGAAAATTTGAAAAATGCCATTGAGAATCTATAAATACATTTATGGACGCAATATTTTCACACCAAAATACGTCTTAATTGAGTCTCGCCCCATTTCTCCCAAAATTTAGTCTGTAGATGCCTTTTTGGATTCACCCTATACGCACCCCATACATTCTTAACTGAGACACATTCATTTTGAGATAAATTGTTCTGGAGATTCATCTCCGTATTCACCATACAGAGAATACGGAGATGCACTTCCGTATACACCATAGCCAGTAAATTTTGACTTTTTTATGAAATACAACGATGAAATACTTTCGTATTATAACAATATTATCATCATAATTTTTTTATAAATTAAATCGTACATTTAATGCACAATATAAAAAAATTCCATATATGAATAAATCAATCCATAATACAGTCAAAATAACAAATTAACAAACAATAATAATATCCATAATGTCGAATACAAATACTACATAACTAAGTATGTCAGACCCCTCCTTCCTATGTTGCCTCATGTACTACAATGTCGTATGTGCCTTGATAAGGATGGTATCCATAATGTACCTCCCATTAGAGCCTTCCAAAAAGACTTCTCTGTATATACCCGTCTATGCAAGACCCATGATATGTCAACATCTAGCCAACACGTCAACAACATGATTATCCCTAGCTTGTTGTTCCTCTACTATCTATTGATGAGATGGTCTAGGTGGATCTCCCAAAGCATCCGATGTCATATAAGGATGTGACACTCTGAAATACCAAGAGATGCAGTCGTATGCTAAACTCTAATCGCTAGGAGCTAGAGTGCAATGTGCGTCATTCGGTACCAGATGATCAAGATAATTATCATACATGACATTCACATGTATGCAGACCATAATAGGAGGAACATAAATTGAGGGGTCTCTAGGAACAAACTACATGTAACCCAATTGACACATGACACGCTCAAGCAGATGTTAATACATTGGACGTGACTCACAAGCCAACCATCTAGAGTATAAGGTTATTTCATTCAAGAGACGTGTATGATAGTGTTCTACATACGTCTTAACGTGTATATCATATGCTACCATGTGGTAAAGATACACTCTGAACAACTCTTCCGCTTGATTCCCTCTGAGCAGGGTGAATGCACGAGCATGTGGCATATTGTAACATCCTAAAACCCCGACTCACAATTAAAAGGATAAAATTCACACATTAGGATCCTACTCACACCCAACATGCATACTTACCAAATAATTTTAAAGCTCGTAGTGGAATTCAAATAAATAACATAAACTTCAGCTATCCCATCAACGAAAATACTTAATAAAATTAACATAATTCAACGATTAACACAAAACAATTAAAATGCCATGTCCCCAATGTTATAGATTAGAAATTAAACCAACTAAATAACAATAAACGATAAAATAAATGAAGAAAAGCTCTAAGGATACCTTCCAACTCACACAAGCACTTACCCTTCCTGAGTATCTGTACAACATCGTACAAAGCAACACAAAACAAACAAGAAAGGGGTGAGAATATGCTCAAATATATTAACAGTGTAAAACAATGCGAGGGTAGCTTGAATCACACAATCAACAACACAAATTCAATTACACAACAATTCAATTTACATAGCCTTTATGTATGCAATGTGACTCACAACTCGACTTTATGCATGTGATACCAATTTGTACATTTGAGGTTTGTTACTGATCTTGTCCACTCAACAATGGTTCCTCATTTAAACCGGGTCCCCGCTTTTGAACCCCAGACAATCACAGGTCCCCACTTCTAAACCCATGACTCGCCTCTTTCAACACACCGACACCATATGGTGCATGTCATACTAATAATGCAAACAACACTTATGGTTCCACTTCTAACCATATACAACATGTCATAAAGCATTCACAGTAGTCCCCACTTATGAACTACACACCTAAACACAAGAAATTATAATTAGCTTCACAACATGCAATCATAATCACCAATTCACAACTCACGTGTTTAATCATAATTCACCACTTATAATCATACATATAAATTATTAGTAATGTCGTAACACAAGTATTATGAAAATGGTACAGAAACAGTAAAGGATGCAAATATATCATCATCAACAACGTGCAACTAGTTGTCATTTATTTGGTCTTCCATATATAACCTTCATCTAACTTAGAGTATAGGTAAACCAAACAAGCAGACCTCAGTTGTACACATGAATCCGCTATAAGCCAGCGGAATATCTCAGGTAGACAACATCCACATAAGTGGCACTATTCTCAACAAAAATGGGCATGCCAACCAAGTACAACAACTATTCTTTCAATGCGTATGCTTTAGGTTGTATAACCTGTTCATCATCACTAGCGGCCTGCTCTACCGCTATCACCTATTGTGCATACAACCTATCCGAGAAGCAAAACCTAGCATGACACCTTCAAGCATCTTCTATCTCCTTAAGGGAATGCCTAGGGTCAACTCTCATATATGTCACCATCGTCTCCAGTGCCCCGTCTCTAATAATACTTCGTGGTATAATAGTCTTCCTATGATCAGAAGATGCAGTAGGCACAAGAAATCATTAAGTGTGATAGACATCTCATCATTTGGAAGATGAAAATATGATGTCTCTGTCACGGCGTGTAAAATACCACGAGCGCTCGCATGCTCAGAATAATAACAGAGTCGCCACCGAAGTTTATTTATCCCAAAAGAAAAGGGAAAATATCAATAAAACTCTAAAATAAAAAGAAAATGGTGGTCGCAACCAAATTTGGGTTCGGGAGTCGGTTATGTGAGGGAAAATTATTAGCACCTCTCACATCCGTTGTACTCAACGAGAATCATTTAGTTAACTTTACAAATATGAGTGTTAGATTTCATTTGTTTCTTCTAATTATTAAAAGTTTGAAAAGAGAAAAGGACTTAAAAGTAAGTTTTTATTAGAGTGCCTGACAAGACGTTGAATCTCGCTCCTATGTATCCCCATGTGCAATGAGGAACTCAGGGCTACGTAGGTCTTGCTAGAAAACGTTTGTTGGTTGGTCATTTTTAGCGAAAGGCACTTAGTCGCAGTCGAGCAAAAAACGTTGCTTGCTATATAAACATGGAGAAGTGAATATTGACATCGCGTCAAAATGGACAACATAACTTGAAATCTCACAGAGTTATGTTCTCATTCCATTCGAGTGGAAAGCGGTCTTACTTCTTGCGCATGGTAGGAACGAAGCTTTATTTGCATCATCTCAGAATGGACGAAGCATATTTTATTTGTAAAAATATTTTGACATCGCGCTAAGGTGGAGGAAAGATTTAATCGGTTAAGTTTATTTTAGATGGATGATGAGTATTTGAACAAGAGATAATTATGGCTAGCACTCAAATAATCGGGGAAGAGAGAAGATATTACGTCCGCCCCAATTCTTTTTCATCCATATTATTTATGAAATTTGTGAGACGAATTAAGTCGTAAGTCCTTAACGAAAGATGGGTATTCAAACAAGAGCTAAGCACGA